TTGTAGTCCCTTGTAAAAAGTCCCTCTCAGGTTTCTTATAGGCCCCCTTTAGGTACTTGGAAGCTGCAGCAAGGTCTCCTGGAGCCTTCTGTTCTCCACACTGAACAAGACTAACTCTCTCAGCCTGCCTTCACAGGAGAGGTGCTCCAGCCAGAGCCAGAAACAGCTAAAGCTGTAAGAGGTGCATGGTTTTATTATGCTCTGTGACACAAGGAAGGGGGCGAGAGGGTGCAGCTCCCTTAGTGCTCCCAGCAAATCTACAAATGAGAACAACGTAAGGCTTTGTGCCACAGGTAGTTATTCACGTCTGTGCAAAGTGAGGATAAAGCAGCATTTCTATGCTGACGGAAATGTTCACACAAAAAATCAGGTCCTTGATAATTTGTGAAACACAAGTATTGTCCACGGTGGGCTTTCATGTAAGCAGCCTCCGCTTGTAAGAGAAGGAACTGGAAGCAGCGGGGACTTGTAGGCTTAACCAGTAATTTACTTGAAAGAAAGTAGTTTCAACTGCAAGAGTGGAAGAGTCAAACAGTGGGCAACTGATACAATGCAATCCAGTAATTAGGCTGAGCTACTGTTTCTGAATCACTGACACACAAAAGGGTCCCATCGGGTCTCAATTGCTGTGCAGTTCTGAAGGCCTTAATGCCTTCTGCAACCCACACATCCTCTGGCTTCAGAGAATGTCTTAAATGTTTCATAGCCTTAAAATCCCAAGCAGCCCAGGAGAGCTTGCCTGTGCTTGTATTATTTATGTTGCTGATGGGCTTTTCATAGTGATGAAAAACTTTCAGCTTTGCTGCCATGCTTAAGAAGGTCAGGGTATAATGTTCTGATCAGCAAGTACCCTGAGAGGCTGGCAACCTTGGGTGGCCTCTTGCACATGGACAAGAGAGCGAGAAGCCATTGGTCTGGGATGGGAACCCCAATTTGTGCCTTCTGCACAGACTGTTTTTAATGCCACACTCAATCGAGGAGGGAACTTAGAGGTACCTTCACATGGTTCTGCAGCTCAGCTCTCTCTGCACATCCCCAGATCTGGGGATGGTGACTAAAGATTTACTACCATTGTGGAGGCAGAGGAGAACAGGCAGGAGGAAAGGAGATCCCTTGGAAGTAGGGAAAACTGGAGCAGACGCATCTGTCCCAGAGGCTGTAGCTGTACTGCTAAGCTAAACAGGCTTTTCTCTGGCTCAGAAACCAATTGGCATAACTTGTGACCACACTGTTCAATAGAGCTGGTCTCCAAAGCAGGGCTGCCACACACAGGCTGCCTGTTAGGAACAGCTCCTGCTCGTGCTATAGTTCTGAATCACACCAGCAAGTTACTGGGCTGGTTGCTAGCTGGTCCGGAACAACTAGCAAAGAGTTGAACACTGAAGAGCATTATAGGGAAAAGATACTCTGTTGTGATCCCCTTTGCTGCAGGATCCTGCAAAACTTCCTGCCTTTTCACTGGCAGTTCCCAAACACAGACTACCTGCACAGATACCTTGGAGGGCTGTAATCTCCAAGGACCCATACAAATGGTGAAAGTCAAATATTTCACAATACTAAGGTGAGAGAAAAAAACCCCGATTTGTAATAGCTGGGGATTTGGGCAACACCTGGTAAAAACCAAAACACCACCACAACTGTGTCACACGTACCTATATTCTGGCTGCAGTCATGCCCATAAACAGGGATGGTTTGTACAGGAAACAAGCAGTAGCTGCCAAGCAGATATACTTGTTGAATGTGGTCACTCGCAGTAGAGCCACTAAACTCAGTAGCACATTCCATTCCCTGGCCCTGGGCAAGGCAGGGGTTTTCCAGAGTGCTCCTCCGCGCTGCGTCAGAGAGGATTTGGCCCTGTGCATTATGGTTTTATTTAGAACATGCTTCTGCAGGGTGCAGAGGCAAGGTGTCAGTCTTGAGCAAGAGGTGAAAGGACTATAAATAGAGCAGGCCAGGCTGCCACAGGCAGCTTTTGGTCTGCTTTAAGTTTCTTGTTTAGCCTGGGAGAAGCAGAAATCCAATCTGGTGAGGAGATGTAGCATAGTACAGGCACTACCCACAGCTTTCCTCTCTAGTCAGTAACTATCTTTCATTTCCCAGGTACACAGATACAGCCGCCTGCCTTTCCTGAACAAGGGCAGCACTACCCTTCACCCGTGCTTCCCTCCAGCTCTCTTTGCTTTTTGCAAACTCCTGCTATGCAAAGTCACGTATTTTCATCAGACCAACTCCTCATGAGGGAAATGCATCCCTTGATTTTCAAAACAACACATAAAATGAATCCCCAGCTTAAGTACCCAGCCATAACACGCACTTCAGCTTTCTGAGGTCCATGGAGCTTTTAGAAGTGTTGTTTGTTAATGCTTGCTCTAATTTGTATCACCATCATGTAGGCTCACTACGGGCTCTCCCTGGAGCTGTTGATTTAACAGACATTTTTGCTGCAGGCCAAGTACATAATAAAAATACCAGCAACAGCTCAGTCCTGCACTCAAGAATTCTTCGTTTTCCCTCACAGGTACCAATAATACTGAGAGCTTTTTCTGACCTTACTCTGTGCTTGACTCGGAGAGAAACAATATTTCCACAGATTTCCACTGCCTAGCATACTTTTTGGTGAGTATATTTACAGCGCAAAGCTAATGGAGGCCATCTCTGAACAGTGCCTTTTAGACTCAAAGCACTTGAATTGATTCTTTGAACTCCACACTCCCAGCTTTTCAAAGCTGCAGCTAAGATTTCGTTCCCCCTATTCCCTCCTGCTGGGATGCACCCGAAGAGGGACAACATTTACAATTATTTCAGAATATGCTCTCAGCATTATGCTATGCACACAAGCAGATGGGATTACTTGTGTCAAAAAAAATCATATACTAAACATTACACTTGAAAGCAAACCATCAAGTCTTGAGGAAGGCAGCTGGATCTCATAAATCTTTGCCTTCCACCAAATATGTAGCCCACATCCCTTGGAAGAGCACTCACAGGCCTACGTACATCTAACATGCTACACAACCTGCCACTTGCTTGCCAAGCCCCAAATTTCATCTTGCACATACACCTGCACTAGAGGTTAGCACAGCACGTTCTTGACAGATGGTCAGTTCTCATTAGCCCTTGCTCAGGGATCTTGAAATTCTGGGCTCAGCAGCTTTGGAGCCAGCTCACAGCACTGGGAACCCCCCTCACCAGGGCATCCCCAGAGCTCTGGCCATCCTGGGGCACCTTCCCTGCGCCAGGCTGCCAAGTAAGAGGCCTCCTTCATGGGGAAACAGACTCCCACTAGTCAAACCTGAGCGCTGCTTTACTGTAAGCAAGCTTTTGTAGAAGTTTCATATACCTCCCAGTTTATTACTATTGGCTGCTATGCTTTCATCCCCGAGACAGAAGACTAAATTTGAAGGGAGGCTAGAGCTGAGGATCAGTGACCTACTAAAGTCTCTCAGTCCGAAGTTCGTCACTTCACGCATTCCAAAGCGGAGCTGATTGACAGTAACAGGCAAAATTGCATCCCATTTTCCTTTTAAGTTCGTGATTAAGCTCTCCCAGTATCATTTTTCTGACACAAGCTGTTATTTGGAGGGGCTGTGCTTCTACATTTTGGGAAGCTGTAATTTCTTATTAGAAGTCAGTGTAATGCCATAGTAGCATTGAAGTATAGCAAGGTCCAGTTTGAATCCGTCAGCCCGTTTGGACCTTTTAGACCTGCCCTACCCTCTAACATGGGACTTGCTGCAGTAAAGGACTCGGCAATCCCCAGCAAACTGAGGAGGCAGATAGCTTTGGTAAAGGTTTCAGAGCTATTCCCCAGCAGCCTGAGGACATCACTTAGTGCCAGGTCTGCATGTTTGCTGTCTCTCACTGTCTCATCCCAGCCGTAGTGTCACGCTCCTGCTACAGCTCCTCACCTCTCCTTTCAGCCCAGGTTCCCCTGCTGCCTTCAGTAGTCTCTGGCTTCCACACTGCTTCCCTACTTTAACAGGATTTGGCTGTTTCCTCTTCATCCTGCACCTTGCTTGGACGCCAGTTGGTGGCAGGACCAGTAAAGACATAGGGCATTAGCACCTCTCTGCAAACCAGCCTCTAGTTTTCGGGAGCCGTCCCTAGGTTAGGAGTAATGCAACTCACCTGAACTTGTCAGATAGGAATTCCTCATTCCAAGGTCGGAGAAAACAGAGCTGCTTTGCAAATGGTTCCACGGGGGCTTTTTTGTTGTTAACCTGGACAAAGCCAACATTTTCCCATCACAATCTGGTTTCAGAAAAAGTGAAATACTTTTACCTGGAACTTGCATAGGTCAGGAAAAACCTAATACCAGACAAAGATGTGACAAGTGAAATCATTAGAGCGCACCGAAGTTCAGAAAGCCCTCACCATACATCCACAAATGGAAGACAGTAGCCAGAAATGCCTGCTAAAAAGAACTGGCAGCAGCACACACTGGTAAAAATCAGAAAAGAAACACATTGGAGAGAGGGGGAATTAGAAAGTGAAGTTCAGGTGAAACTATGGTAACAAAGCTGCTCTGTGACATCAGGTTTTGAAGAAACAATGCATCCATTTCCTGATGGAGGCAAATTTTAGTGACTTTTGCTGTAAAATAAGTCTTATCTAAGTACTGCACACTGTTCTTACAAACCTATACAAGTACATTCCTACTCTAAATCTCTGGATGTTTGAATAATACACTTTTTGTTCATATTAAGACAACACTCCATATAATTTTATTTGCAGAATACCAAGTTGTAAACAGATATAAAAACAACAGAACATAAAAACTTGTTACAAAACCAAACTAAAATAATAAAACAGTGCATTTTGCTCAACACTTTAATTTCAATATGATCTTCACTAAAAAGCTTACTCCATTAAACCTGAATATTTCAGCATTCATTATAGGATTCTTTCATACAGTATAGAAATGAAGTCATCTAACAAATGCTCTAATATAGCCAGTAACACAAAGAGTTTCTGTGAGGGAATATATAGCAGTTTCCATAGCATGAATGCATATGGACAATACCATATATAAAAAAGGCACACTATTCAACAAGTATGAACAGATTTGCACTGTGATTAAACCGAACACAAACAATTTAAAGTGACTTCTGAAATTACAGGTTGAGCTAACACAAAGGCACCTTTTATTTTAAAGATAAATTCACATTTCTACAAGGTAAAAGTTTTGTGCCCAGGCAACTACAAGTCATTGCGGCACAATCAGTCAGACAGCTCTCACTGCATGTATCTCAACTTTCAATAGAAAGATCTGGTTTCTATTTCTTTAATCCAGTTTTAATAAGGGAGAAATTAAATTAGGAAGAGGAGGGTTCTCCCTCCCATATTTACAGGCTGCAGACTGTTCTGCTTTCTCATCAGAAATTCAAGTTTTCCTGTCAAACTTTGTTAAGCTTTGTCACTATGAGCACCCTCAGGGTTTGGTCGAAGGCACCACAAACACACAGTCCCTTTTTGTCAGGGCTCCAGTCTAGGCTAGAAATGGGCTGCGTTGAGAGAGTCACATTCTGCAAGAGACTGACAGAACCTGCCACCCCCATCTCGGCTCCTTCAGAATCCTTCTTCGAGCGCTGGGCTGGGTACTCACTGGCAATAAGGAAAACAAAAACTTGCACTTAGAATTCACTGATACAAACACATCATTATCCTCTTTATTTTCAAAAGAAGGGTTTCCTCTGTTCTATAGATAAGGCAAATAAATGCCTTAACAATAATGAATAATCACAGAATGGTTTGGGTTGGAAGGGACCTTAAAGATGATTTAGTACCAACCCCCTTGCCATGGGCAAGGACACCTTCCACTACCCCATGTTGCTCACATCCAGCTATTCCCACACTGCATACTTAGTAAGTATTTCATGAAAGAAAAAATGAGGCAGGAAGCCTCATTTGAATTGAATCCTGACAGTTCTCTCCTGCAGCCCTTCAGTTTCCAACTGTTTGGCTTTTGCCACAGGCAAGAAAATTTTCTCTCAGCTGTCCCTCTGAAACAGCACACCTATCTCACTGCATTTGGGATGACTGAATTATTTTGCCATGTAATGTAAGAAGATGTAAACGTAAGAATCATTAGAAGTCCAGGCTTTTAATGTTCTTCTCAGACATAACTCCTACCATGTGAGAATTTTAAGAACTCAATTTTCTTCCATTTATCACCTTGTTAACCAAGGATATAATTAGATCTTGATTATATTAAGAAAACTGTCAAAGAGTAAAATTCACCTGTGCTGTTGTCACAATCTTTTAGGGATTAATTCAACATTCCAGCTTATGTACTGACCCCAAAATTACCATTTCTACTGCGTTTGTAAGCAATAATTTTAACTAGATATCCTGAGGTTGGAAGCACGAGCCTAACTTGGCATTTTTAGGAGGATTCTTTCTTAAAACGTTAAATGGCTGGTTTCTTATTCCCCGTGTTGCAGGCTGGAGGGCGATCACTTACTATTTCCAGAGATGAAGGCTCCCAGCTCCTCCACTTGTCATAAATATATCTCTGTTCTGTGGTAAGTGCCGAACCTGCCAGATGGTAGATTTTTGCACCTAATAAAGAAAAATCAGTGTTGTATAGGAGTTATTCACAGATGCAATTAAAATGGCAATCACTTGTATGAAGAGAACATGGCCTTCTCATGGGTACTGGAACATCCATCCTGAGGTACCTTCCCTTCTGCTGGCCTTGAGACCTGCTGCCACAGGAGCGGCCAGTTCCCACACAGGAGAAGCCAAGTCAGGCCTCCAACACACCCTGGTCTTCCACAGGGATAAGGCAGCATCCCTGCCAAGGCCACCACTCACTAATACTTCAGCTTCTTTGGGACTGCCCACATAGACAAGGCTAGGGAGAAGTAAAGTGGCTGTGTAAGCATGTCTTTTGGAACTGCTCTGGAACTACAGGATTGCCAAGCTCTTAGGGGACACAGACACCACAAGGTTAATTTCACTCTGTGACATCTCTTAAAATCATTACTGGAAGTGAATATACTGCAAATAATCTACAATTCCAATTTACATCTTAGCCAGGGCACAGCAAGATGACACAGCAACAGAAATCACTTAGGGAAAAAACCCAACAAAACCTGACTTAATGCATATCTGTCTGCAAATGTCCAAAAGCAACAGCTTAAATGCAGTGAAGGAAAGAAATGTCATTTCCACATTTTGATTATCACAAACACTAATTCAGTAAATACTTTTGTGTTATCTAATGAAAGCACTTCCAACATCTTACCTGCTTTGAATGGTGGTATGGAAAATATTCAAGATGTTAAGTTGAAATTCACCTTTTTCTAATTTAGGCATTCTGGAGAACTTCACCAGAAAAGACCCTTTCCTCCGGATTTATTATTACCAGATTGTGTTCACAAAACAGAACAACAAAAGAAGTCCCACCACAACAAAAATACCCTGGTTTATAAAGAATTTAAACTAACCAATGCAGTGGTCACAGAGGGAGGAAAAAGGTTATAAGAGTTCTCCATATTTAACAGCCTGCAGGCCACTAAGTCTCTCCAATATATTCTTTCACTCACCCTCAATATCCCAATCCAAAAATGCTTGGTTCTGAAGAAAAATAATGATTTCTGTGTCTCATATAAGCTCTGGTGACTGCAGGAATAAAAGTGGCTGCAGAGGGCTCATGTTTGGGGGGATATATTTTAAGATTTGAATCCGCATGCTCATCACAATTTAATACGGCCTCCAATAAACATGACTCCCAGATTAGGGGCAGAGCTGAGTGCACAGAGGTGCAACTGCAACTGAACCCGGAGATGCCCAAGTATCAGGTTATAAAAGGGAGGAAACCTGGGTGAGCGCTGGCAGCTGATGCACAGGAGCCCTTTCACTGCTGCATTAGGGGCCACGCTAACCACGCTGCCACACAGCTTGTGCCTGTTACAGGGGCATTATGAAAGACAATAGTTTTAGACCTGTAGTTCTTCAACAGCAGGTATTGAAAACATTTATCTCTTCCTAAGAAATCTTGCCTCCCCATACCTTCTCTGAAACAGAAGCAAAACCTTTGGTTGGATGCTGAGTTCTCATATCAAAAACATGAAATTTCCCCTCAAGGGATGTGGCCACCAGCTTGTTCATATTTACATCTTTTCTGTCAAACTCCACACTGCAAACCTGGAAATATAAAAATACATTCAGCCTTGAAGTTTAGCCACTACTAAAAACAAGGGGTGGGGGTGGGTAGGGAATTTATGCTATTTGTAAATATGTATTAATCATTGCTTACTTTTACAATTACAACATCACCAATTTGCAAATAACAATCACCTGGAAACATGAATCCACAGAAAAATACCCCATCCTATCCAGACCAAAAATTTGAGGGGTACAAACACAGGACCTGGGATGAAATGTATTTTTATGGTTTCCTTACCCCATTCTTTATGTTGGTCTCCCATCTCAGTGACATGGTTTTTAAGTCAAACAATTTAATGTCCCCATTGTCGTATCCAGCACATACAACACGTTCCTCTTGATTGTAAGCATTGCCTGGACAGAGAGAAAGAATTCATCAGAATACAGGAACCTTCTTTAGTCTGCAAACTTCAGACCTCTTAAACCTGCAATTTCAACTTACAGTTATGTCAGAAAAATATTACTGTTGGGGATACTAAGATTTAATGAACTGGCTGGTTTTCAAACCTGAAAGGCAGGGAAAAATACAGCTTCAAGCCTGGCAGCCTGTTTCTTTTAAAATATGAACAGAATTCTTATTCCCCCTGCCAAGTACTGCCTAAACCACACAAAGTACTGCACTTGTACACCTACATAAATACATTCCTTCTCTTAAATCTTTATGTGCTCTAAACCATGCTCCCCAGACAGCACCATGGCACCGAAGCAGAAAGCAGTTCAGCAGTTCCTTAGCCAGCCTCTCAACCACGAGCTCTTAGTGCAGACACAGACTTGTCGAGAAGCCCCGGGTGTTACCATGGCATCACTAGACAAATGCAGAAGCCTGCAAGCAAAAACTCTCAGCTGACAGGATCAAGGAAACATATCAGTGTCTGAAAGAAGTCAGCCCAGAGCACGTAGTTCAAAATGAACCTGGCCCTGGCTCAAGCTTTGGTAACTCAAAATAAATTGAAGAAATTATGAGGGCACTTTTTTCTCCATTCATCAAAGCAGAAGACAAAGATATCAACAGCAATGAGCATTCGAGTTGCACCTTCTTGCCAGGGAATGTCGTGTCCTTACTATCAATTTTGTAATTATAATCCATGCACTTATTAGCAGTTTGTAAAACTCACTCCCTGACTCTGGAGGCAAAAATGGAGCTAATCCAGAAACACCAGCTGGTGTAGGACAGAAGCAGCCTGTTCTCTCCAGAAGAAAAATACAGAGCACAGATAAAGCATCGCTGTTGTCTTTAACTAGCTCTTAGCTTCATAGATCTTCTCTTAAATTAATGCTTTAATGTTTGATAGTTGGAACTACAGTGCATCAGCGATTGGTTCCCTGTGTGCTGCAACATTTACGCTCCTTCAGGACCATGCAGCTGGAGATACTGTTTTTACATTCCTAGGCATAGAAATAAAGCTTGCACAGCTTGTCAGTGAAATCACAGAACCAGCTAGGTTGGAAAAGACCTTCAAGATCATCAAGTCCAACCACAAACTATGACCAAAGGTGATAGGAAAATGAGCCCAACCCCCAACTTCCACAAAATCAGCTTCTTTTGGGAAAAAAGAAATAAAAATTTAAAAATACATAAATCTGACAATACTGAAAAGCAAAATGTGCTACTTGTGTGCCCATACCAAAATAAGAAGCTATTCCATAACATCCTGAAATGCTCTGACAATCATCAAAGCACAGTCATATTAGAGGAAGGAATGGTTATAGTCTGATACATTACCAAATGCTACGGTCCAGCAGTCTCTTTTGCTCTCCCCCTGCACAGGTTCCATATTAGCAACAGGTGTATCTTTCTGTCTCGGGTCCCACACCTTCACAGTTCCTGGGAAAGAAGGACAATGGATTTTGTGTTATGGATACACTGACACACTGTGTTCATCTTCCCAGGGAAGGCCTTTGGAGCAGGAGCATCTCTCTCTTTCAATTCCAGAAAGCCTGACTGCATTTAGTGGATTCAAAGAAACCAACCAACCAAAAACCAAAACCAACGAACAAGAAATAAAGCAAAAGTGTTGGTTAAGGATGTACTTTCTCTAGCTAACATTTGGCATTTATTCTATATTGTATCCTTACTGTCTCAGTGACAACAGTCTCTTTTGCTTATCTGCAGCTTCTAGAAGAGTGAAGAGGAAATTTGTCCCAAGCAAGATTCATAGGACAGCATAGGAAGAACCGGGAACTAGTTGCAACAGGTTTGTAACTAGTTCAGATGGCAGACTGTGCCCTGCCATCAGAGTTCTCAGAGCAACTGAAAAGACTTTCAGAGTTCACTAACTCACCATCTCGACTGCCAGTGACAATTTCTGGTGCACCTTCCCCAATTCCTAAGCCACCTACACCATCTATACTGTTTATGATTTCCTTATGACCTTTCACAGAATACACTGGTATTTCAGGAGCTTCTAAATTCCTAGGCAAGAAAGAAAAAGAACAGATAATACAGCATTTTCCTTGACACTCGGGATTTGTATAAAAATGAGAGGAAATTGAGCACAAATTATATAAACTCAGATTAACAATGGGAGCAAAATATGGGTATCACCATTAAGAACCATGAGTCTCTGATTCCTTCTTTGGCTGCTGCTTTAGACTGGTCCAGATGCTTTTGCTCAGTTCTGGACTTCCCTGTCTGTAAGGGCAGTTGTGGGATTCACCACAGCAAGAACCAGCTCAATATGAATCATGCCACAGATGAAAACACTCCAATGAGCTTTACCCTCAGCAAGAATATAAAATGACTTTGTTCACTGATCCCCACCTAACTCTAATTCCTGCTCTTCAAATTAAAGTTGCACCCAACTGGGGGTTTCATGGTTCTTTGCCAACGATTCCCATCCTTTGAGAATCCTTCAGAATTCTATTCTGAATTTCAGCTAGTGACTAATCCGTGCTGCTGTTCCAACAAAATAAACCCATAGTTCTTTGTCAAGTGAAAGACATTATTACTATTATTACCAATAAAATAACAATATAAAGAACAACCCCTTTTTGACCCTATAATTTGTGTAAGTAAATTGATTATCGAACAAAACATACAAATAATTCAGGGACTTGAAAAAACATCTGAAGCTTCAAAATTAAAAATCTGTATTTAACCTAGACATCAAATTTAGTTTATTACACAGGTTAGGTTATTGTATAGGTTACCTTGTTTGTATTCATGCATCCATTCAAAGCCTCTTTTCAGAAGAGGACCCAGCAGAACTTTAAGAGGTGTTTGTTGCTGCACACAGAAGATGCCAATGGAACAGCACTGAATTAAACCACTGTGCACAATTCATGTTGACTTACAACAAAGACATGGTCCAAACACAGTAGCCAGCAAAGCTTAGGACCAGATCTCAACCCCATGCAGCACAGACAGCATCTTGCATAAAAGCCAGCCACACGCAGAAACATCGGTTCAGGCATGTACAACATGAAATGGAAAAGCTTCCAGAGAATATCCATGCTTACCATATGTTAAGGTTTCCACCGAAATCTCCTGTGGCTAAGTATCTTTGCTGCAGAGATGTAGCACCAAAAGTTCCACATTTTATAGGTTTAGCCTTTTCAATCTTGTAAAAAAAGGATACATTCTGTGTCAGCACATGTACAACACCACCACAACCGCAGACCACGGCAGCAGTTCCAGCAGAGTCCAGGGGTGACAGATTTCGGTGACATGTACATAGGATATTTGGGGTAAAACACAAAGGAAATGCTATCACAGGCAACTACACTTTGTGTTTATTTCTTTGCGTGCAGAAGAGACTCCAGTTTAAAAGTCTTAAAAAAACAAACCAACCCTGCACTTCAGCTCGCTAATGATACTCATTAGAGGCTGCTGTTTCTGCTGATTTGCAAATGGAACGCAGGGAGACCCCAGAGCCCCGCGGGCCCCCCAGGACAGGGAGAATTAAGTCATTCTTGCAGTTAATCCGTAGCAGCACTGTGTACGCACCGCACCCGCAGCGCCTCGGCCCTACAGGCCCACAGCTTATTTGCTTGTGCGCTGGGGGTCTCTATGGACCTGAGACGCTGTTACCCCCGAAAACCAGCAAACCCTCGAAAGCCAGTTTGAGTTAGAAATCAAGAAAACACCCACAACAGGAAC